ACTTGGCTCCCATTTATTTCCATTCACTGGTTCTTCTTTTCCTCTAGAAGTGTCCAAGGATCACTCCCTTTCCTAGAAGATGACCCTTAAAATGCAAGAAGATGACGAAAGTGTCAATCCCCAGTCCTCTCTTCTCCCCAGCTAACCATCTCCAAGTCCTTTCTCTAACAGGGCGCCATTTTGATTGTGCTCCTTGGGACATTCTCCACTTTGTCAATTTCTCTCTTCAAACACTACATCAAGTCTCATTTCAATTCCACAAGCTTTTTAAAGAGCTTACTAGATGTCTGTGAGGGGTGTTGAGGATTCAAAAAGGAAAAGGTCCCTACCCTGAGGGTGCTTAAAGTCTACACAAGGAAATAGCATGTATGCTGGTAAGTATTAATAAAAATTAGAGATAGGGACCAGACCTGGGATTTCATTGGCATAGGGAATTACCAGAAGAAGAAATTCTCTCTATCAATGCAGGTTGGCACCTTTCCTGCAAGTTAGAGTCTTTGAGAGTCACTTGGGGCACTGAAAGGTGAAGTAACATGCCCAGGGTCACACAGTCAATTTCTGAGCCAAAACAGCTAAGTTTCCTCATCTGTAAAATTTATATACGTACATATATATATATTTATATGTAATATATATATTTATATATATATTAGTATATATAATAGCATCTACTTCACTGGGTGATTACTATAAGGATCAAATTAGATCAAGAGTGTAAAGTCCTTGGTAAATGTTAAATTGACATATAAACGTGAGTTAATTTTTATGACTTATTCTTACCATAATAATAATGATGATGAGAATAATACCTGACATTTGTATAGTGTTTGGTGTTTATTTCCCATTTGATCTTCCCAAAAGTCTTGCCAATTATCTCCAGTTTATCCTGTTGATAGCTTGTTTGTACACAGTTCACCTCTTGTTGCCCCCCATTAGACTGTAAGCTCCCTGAGAGCAGAGATTGTTTTTTGCCCTTCTTTGTATCCTTAGCACTTGGCACAGTGCCTGGCATATGGTAGGAGCTTAATAAATGTTGACTGACTGATTCTATTATTCCCATTTCACAGAAGAGGAAATTGAGGTCTAAGGAGGCTAGGTGACTTGTCCAAGGTTATCCAGGTACTAAGTGTCAGAGGCAGGGTTAGAAATCAGGTCATCCTTACTCCAAATACAGCAGTACTAAGATCTTCATCCTCTACAATGTCTGAAAATACACTGGGGAGTCTCAGCCCCAGTTGGCTTCAGCGTGGACTGTTTGTGACACTTCTGTCCCATACAGAGGCAGACGAGGAGGACGCCTGCTAAAGAACCAGGCTGGATGTGTGAACGAGCCACCTCCTCCATCTTTTCAGCTGTCTACTTTTGGTAGTCATGGGTGTGTCAAAGGTTGGTCAACCAGGGTGGTGTCTCTCAATGTTACAATTCTTTTTTTAAACAAAGCAGTCAGTGGCCACGTGTGCTACCAGACAGGCAGTGACAGGTTAATGACAGGAAATGCTTTGGCCTGAGCATCAGGAGGCTTGGCCAGGAACTACCTGAGTGCCCTTGTCTCTGTCTGAGCTTCCTCGTGTAGAAAATGAGGGCTTTGGACCAGACGACCTCTGAGGTACTAGGGCCATAGGATTTACACCCAGAAGGGACCAAACAGGTCATCTGGTATAACTCCTTTATTTTACAGATGAGGAAATTGAGGCCCGGAGAGGTGAGGTCACTTACCTAAGGTAACATAAGTAAGTGATGAAACCAAAATTAAAACCCCCGATTATGGGAGATCATAGGAGATGATCGACTTTAGAGCTGACAGGACTCCTTTGAGCTTATCTAGTCCAACCCCCTCATTTGGCAGAAGAGGAAACTGAGGCCCAAGGTCAGACAGGTAGTAAGTAATAGTAGGTCCTGGGACTTCACACCCAGTGCCAGCTCTAATGCCCTCTTAGTTAGATGCTGCTTGTACAACCCCCTAAAAATCAGTCCTTTGATCCAGATACGTTTCTTGTGGCATGCCTGTGCTTGGTGGCTTTTAATGGTGGAGTCTTACAGGGGAGGGTCAGAAACCTGCTCTCTGTGTTTGCTCTCTACCTGGTCAGCCCACATAGCCCACGCATGTACAGAGCACACATGGGCTGCTCGGCTGTATTCATTTATGGGTCATGTGTGAGCTACGATTTCTGTTTTGTTATGTGTACTTTTTGCAGTTTCCACCTGTGTCCCGACTAATATAGATTGTAAGGCCTTTAAAGGTAGGCTTTAGGGGGTGCAGTGGGTAGAGCACTGGCCCTGGAGTCAGGAGGACCTGAGTTCAAATCCAGACTCAACTTACTAGTTATGTGACCCGAGTTTGAATCCTACTACCTACCTACCTTTGCGACTTTGGACAAGTCACTTCTGTGGGCCTCAGTTTCCTCATCTACATAATAAACATATTGGATTAGATGACCTCTAAGGTCCCTTCTCCTATGAACACCTAAAAGTATGTAAGCTCCCTGAGGGCAGGGCTATTTCATTTTAAAATGTGTGTCCCCAAGGCCAAGCAGAGTGCCTGACACACACTAGGTACTTAATCCTTGGTAAATGCTTGTAGAATTTTAATTGAATTGCCCATAGGATAGAATTAATAATGAACGAATTCTAACAAAAACAAGATAGAAAAATGAACACATCAGGAAAGTTACTTTCCAAATTAATGAAACAAGAAATTGTTGTTCTCTGCTTATAGAAATAAGCTACATAGGAACGCAGCTTACAGCGGTTCCTGGGCAGTGTATTGGGGGTGAAGGCTGGTGTGTTAACAGGACTGGTTTCTGGACCCTCCTGAGTTGAAAAGCATCCTCTCATGGCACTGTCTGGTCACCTGAAAAGACTTGAGGATGGGAATAGGCCTGGATAGATTTTCTGAAACACTTTAGAAGGAGTTTAACACACATGGCATTCCCAGGAATCATCTGCATTTTCTTCTGTTACATTTGAGCAAACAGAAAACAAGTGTGGATGTGATTGTCTCGGGACAGGGGAGCAGAGTCGGGAAGAAGTCCTTCCAAACTCCATCTCTTAATTCCTGTTCAGTAAGTCACTCGATTTTCTAAATTTAAGGTGTGTGGATGAGGGGATCTGGAGACAGGAGTCCTAGGTTCAAATCCCAGCTCCAACGTCAATTGGCTCTGTGACAATCCAGCATCAGTTTCCACATCTGTAAAATAGGTCTATATGCCACCAGCACTACCTACTTTATAATGTAGTTGTGGAGAGAGTGCTTTGTAAGCCACAAAGTGCCACAAAAAAGTGAGTGATTAATGTAGTAATATTTCGCTATGTAAGAACGAATATGACAGAGAGGCATGGGAAGACATCATTATAGCTAACATTTATAGAGTGCCTACTATGCGCCAGGCACTTTGCTATTTTTATCTCATTCAATCCTTACAGTAACACTGGGAGGTAGATGCTACTGTTATCCCTATTTTACTGATGTGGAAACTGAGGCAGACAGAGGTTAAGTGACTTGCCCAGGGTCACACAGCTAGTAAATATCTGAGGCAGGATTTGAACTCAGGTCTTCTTATATGAACTTATTATAAGAATTGAGACTGAGTGGAAAATGATGTATACAAGAACCGTCACAATGCCCGTGACCTAACGCATTGAGCACATGTGCTGCTCGACACCTGGCAGGTCAGATCATAGACAGAGTTGGATGGCACCTTGGAAGTCTTGAGACACTCCCTTATCATGTAGATGAGGAAACCAAGGCATGGAAGAGGTGAGGGACTTGTCCAAGGTCACACAGGTAAGCCAGGGTCATAGCCAGGATCAGAATCCAGGTCTTGGGACTCTCCTTATCTAGGGATCTTTGCCTAACATTCTTAACACTTGTTTGCCTCCCTGGCAGAGAAGGCCGTCGGTGAACGGCCCAATTGTTCCCTTTTTGGTTCTAACAGAACAGTCTAAAGAAACAGCTTCTCTTTAGCGGTAACCCTGTGACCCAGATTCCAGACCAGCACAGTCCCTGGCCCGGCAGCCCGGCTCCCAGGCCCCCAGGCCTTTGTATCTGCCTGCTCCTGTTGGCAGGAGAACTGACCCCTCCCAGTGCTCATCCAGCTGCAATTTCCTTGGGCTTCCTCCTAGGGTTCTCAGCTCCATTCAATCCAACCCATTTATTTATGACAGACCTACTACGTGCGAGGTGTCCCTTCCTCCTGGCCTTGCTCATTCTCTCTAAGTCCAGCAGGTCTATTTTGTAACTGTTAAAGCGGCTCTGCCTGCAGCCTACGTCTCTCCTGCGACGGTGCCTCAGGTTACAGTATTACGTGGAAGCAAGAACTGAATGTTGAACCGGGAGGCTGGGCTTGGGACCAGCCTTGGGATGAGCCAAGTGATCCTGGCATCAGCCACTCGGGGCTCAGCCATTACTGGCTGTGTGACCTTGGATAACTTAATTAACCTCTCTGGCCTGAGTGTCCTCATCCATAAGATAAATTGGACTAGGTGACTCTAACTGCCCCCCCCAGCTCCACCTCAATGCTCTTATGAGCACACCTCGGTCAAGTCAGCGCATTCCTTGAGACCTCAATTTCCTCATCTGTAAAATGAAAGAAGTGAACCAGACAACCTCTTAGGTCCCTTCTGGCTTCACATTTGTGATTTTAAGATACTTGGGCAAGTCACTTCCCTTCAGTTTTCTTATCTGCAAAATGGGAATAATAATCCTTATTCCATTTACCTCACAGAGTTGTTATAGAGAGACTCCTTCAAAAACCAGAGAGCGCTCAACAAATATGGATTGGTGTTAATATATTCTTTCTTTCCTTCTCTCCTGAACCTACTTTCTCTCTCTCCCTGTCTCTCTCTTTCTCTGTCTCTCTGTTTCTGTGTGTGTGTGTGTGTGTGTGTGTGTGTGTGTCTGTCTGTCTCTGTCACTCTCACTCTCTCTCTCAATCTCCCCACCCTCAATTCTATGCAAGAAGCATCACTACACACCAGATGTTTGTTTTTTTTTTTGCTAGATACAAAGACTAAACAATGTATCCCTGCCCTCAGACAACCTCCGGCCTGTTCCCCAGGGTGGGTACAATGTACTCACAGGTAAGTAGATCCGAGTGGCTTCCAAAGTTATCTCATGAAGTTTCAGTAGGCAGAGAGTCCTCGTACATGGGGGGAAGGACAGGGGTCTCGAAAGACCTCAGGGAAAGGCAGCCCCGGGGCCAAGAGCCTTTGAGGGAAGACAGGGCTTCTCCAAGGCAGAAGGGAGAAGGAAGTACTTGGCAAGCCTCTTTCCAAGTGTGCACTTGGCCATTTTCCCTTCCCTCTCTGGCTCAGGCCTCTGAGGACCAGCCGGGATCATTTTAGAGCCTCATCACCAGGTGGGCCAGCCACAGGGAGATGGTTTTTCCACCACAGTTACTCTTGAAGGTCATTTCCTAAGTTCTGAGGGAGACAGCAGTGACGCCCTGTCAAAATCATTGATTCTTGAAGAGTGCAGTAAGGGAAAGTTAGAGCTGGGGGCAGGCCCTAAGGGGGGGCAGCGCCCTGGTGTACAGGATCCAGGGAAGACTGCAAAGAAACGTCTTTAATTCTGCTTTTTATAAATGCACACATTTTTAATGTTAGAAAATTCTGCCCTCCATGGCCTGAGGCTATCTTAGCCTACATTAATTCACCTTTGGCAAAAGCAACCCCACTGGGCACCAATTGCACCCATTGCTCAGGGCACGCTAACGCTGGGTCTTTGATCCACTGAGTGCCTCCTACATACAAGACCCTTGGCTAGGCACCACTCTAGGAAATGACCACTCAGGAACGTCACACATAAGAGGATCCATCCCACAACACGTCCACATCACATTCTATATACCTGCATCTCAAGTTTCCTCTTCGTCTCTTCCTTTTTGGTTTGTTAGCCAGACCCAATCTATTTTGAAAATAAGCACAGTGTAGTGGTGTATGATGCTAGGTGGTGTAATGGATAGAATGCCAGGCTGGAGTCAGGAAGACTGAGTTCAAATACAACTTCAGACATTTACTAGCTGTGTGACTGTGGGCAAGTCACTTCACCCTGTTTGCCACAGTTTCTCCATCTGTAAAACGAGCCAGAGAAGGAAATGGCAAAACCACTCTAGTGTCTTTGCCAAGAAAATGGGGTCACGAAGAGTCAGACACTGTGACTGAAAAAATAACAGTGTAATGGAGAGGTGCTGGGTTTGGGATCAGGAAGGCTGGGGTTCAATCATGACTCTGACACCTACTACCAGTGTGACCCTCTCAGCCCCTCTCTGGGTCCCACTTTCCTCATGTATAAAATGAGGGGGTCAGTCTAGGCTTTCTTTAAGGTTTATGAGCTTATGACCTTTTCCTTCCTTCAAACACTAATGGTCTTTTCCTTTTCTTCCTCATCCCCACCTCCTCTTGTCCTTAAATATTGGCCTGAAACTTTCATTTTACACAGGCAGTCCTGAGGACCTGCTACCTCCTGAAAGCTCTGGCTTTCGGCCCTACCACTCTGTGTAGGGGGGCCATGCTTTAAGACAACTCATTAGATGAAACCCCCCAACTTCTAAAACACACACTGTGGCTCATTATTTGTAACAGCAAAACAGGATTGTGTTTCCACAGTGAAGCAGGAGAGCATTTGTTTGTAGATTGTTGGCTTGGGGAAAAATGGTACAGCACAGGAAAATCAGAGTTGGCTGCCATTATTAACCTAAAGGGGATAGGACAAGACTTCTGATTTTCTGGGTTCAAGGAAACACCTTCCCTCCATCTGCTAAGCAATTGACAATCTTCAAGAGATGCTCAGAGCACTGAAAAGGGTCACACCCGGCCAGGACGTGTCAGGGAGGGGAGCTGAGTCTGGGTCTTCCTGGCTTGGGGTGGGGGGCTCTCTCTGCCCTGGGCCAAGCTGCCTCTCAGTGGCAATTAACAGAACGCCAGTTGGAAATGATGGTGAACCATCTTTCAAAGGAAGTTAATTAGGGACTGGAATTCAATTGACAATATTTTATAATTAACAATCATTTTTTGTTGCAGCAACCCGCCTATTGCTGAGTGTCTCAGGATCGTCTGAAGGCACAGAGAGGTTATGAGACTCACTCGTGGCCATACGGCGACTGTGGGTCAGAGGCAGGATTTGAACTTTGATCTTCCTGACTCTGGAATCAACCCTATTCACTATATGAAAAACCCATTGCTTCTCAGATGCAACTTAAAAAAATAATGTAAAGGTTAATCCCAGCGAATGATTTCCTATGTGTAATAGGTATCAAATTTCTTGCCTTCTCAATGGGTGGGGGAGGAAATGGAGGGAGGGAGAGAATTTGGAACTGAAAATTAAAATTAAAACATACATACACAAAAATAATAATAATTGATATGCAACTTTTTAAAAGCCTATCCATTGCCTAAAGCAAGGCATGCCCAGGATGCTATCTCTCAGGAGCCCCACAATAAAGGGCTATTTCCTCTCCTCCATCTATGGCTGGCTCATTCTGCCTTTTCTTTCAGCTTTTCAGCAATTGGGCTTTAACTTCAAGCCTTCCTCATCTTACCCAATGATTCGTTGGAGGAGTCCTTTAAACATAAATTTCCCTTTGGGCTTGAAGTATTGTTTACAATTCATTAATTTCTTAACTCAGGATGGGGGAGGGGGATACAGCTAATTGGAGGTCGATGAACTGAGGTAGAAAAGGGGTAGAGGATCTTGGGGATTTAATGGAGAGCCAGGGAAAGAGGGCTCAGCCTCGAGGGAAAGGGACAGGACCCAAGATTTCCCAGGGAAGGAAACTCCCTCAACCAGCCTGGGTTGGCACCTTCCCTACGATTCCAGTCTTGGGGAGTTGTCCAAAGGGGCAGTTGTCAGTTATGACCCTTTAGGGGATCATTGTAGTATTTTTCACCCACTCACCATTTCAGGGAAATAGTGTCCCCTGCAGAAGTGACCATTCTTTTAGGAGGACAGAATGCCAGGGTATAACCTGGCCTGGTTGAGAAGAGCCTGGCATCTCTATTTAGAGTCAGATGGTGAGCGCTTCCAGTTATCCAGGGAGAAAGCCTCCCTGTTTGGACCAGGGAGTCATAGCAAAATAGCAGGACATGACTCGAGTCAATGCAAATCTCTAAGTCGGTAGTCAGAGCTGGGTGGGTCACTCTGAAGCGTCTCCCTGTGGTTCCTTACGTCCCCCCTGTCCTCTCCCAGGCCCTGACTTCAGGGGAAGGAGAGCCAGGGAGAGGGACATGGGATGGGCCTGGGTGAAAAGGAGGCCTGGATTCACTTCTCTCCCCTATCAGTCTCCCCTACTCTTCTATGGGAGCCCTAGAATTCCAGCCCTGACTAGCCGCTAGGGCACTGGACTTGGGGCCAGAAGGACCTGGCTTCACATCCCACCCTGGATACTTACTAGATGTGTGACCTAGGGAAGATCACCTCATCTCTCTAGGCTTCCTTTTCCTCAATCGAAAAATGGAATGAGGTATGTGTATGTGGTAGGGGTGGGGATGGGGGGAAAGGGGATTGTACTCCCTGGCCACTGAGGTCCCTTCCAGCTCAAAATCTATGATTCTGAGATCATACCATCCCCCTTCATCCCAACCTTGCTGGCCTTTGACCCTTTCGGGTTACAACAACCCCCGAGAAGGACAGAATTCTGAAGAGCTGGCCTTCTTGGGAGGTCCTATAGAAATGCACTGTCTTTGTTCTAAGACAGGGTTCAGTTTGGGGCAGGGGGAGGAGGAAGGCATTATTTCTATTCATCTCCAGCTCTTCTCTCTCCCTCACCCCTCACATCCAATAAGCTGCCAAGTCTTGTCACTTCTTTCTCAAACACATCTTCCTCATTCTTCCCCTTCTCTCTGCTGATAGGGTTACAAGCCAAGCTCAAGCCACCCCCCCCACCTCTTACCTACTGCATCAGCCTCCAAGGGCTCCCCCTGACTCAAGTCTCTCCCCTCTCTCATCCATCCTTGTCACAGCTGTCCAATCGACACATATCCCCGTGGCCCAGATCTGGCTAGATCTCCCCACTGCCCCCAAATCGCTTCCTCTTGCCTCTAGAATAAAATGCAACAATTTCAGGAAGACTCATCTTCCTGAGTTCAAATCTGGTCTCAGACACTATCTGTGTGACCCTAGGCAAATCACTTAACCCTGTTTGCCTCAGTTTCCTCATCAGTCAAATGAGTTGGAGAAGAATATGGCAAACCACCCCAGTACCTTTGTCAAGAAAACCCAAATGGCGTCATGAAGAGTTAGACAAGACTGAAACAACTGAACAGCATGATGATAAAAAGGACCACACTGAAGACAGCAGAACTCTGTTTGGTGCGGTGACCAATCTTGATTCTGCAAGTTTGGCAGGAAAACAGATACATCAGTTCTGAAGGTGGAGGACCTGGGTTCAAATTCTGCCTCTGATGCTGACTACCTGTAACCTTGGACAAGTCACTTAACTTCCCTGAGCCTCAGTGTTCTCCTCTGTAAAATGAGGCAGTTGGAGATGGTGCTGTGATCAATCCTGTGACCTCCTCCTCTGAATATAGTGGCAGACTAGGGAATCAAGAAGACCTGAATTCAAATTCTGCCTCAGGTACTTACGAACTGTGTCCCCCTGGCCAAATCACTCAGTTTCCTCATCTGTAAAACAGGGATAATAACGGGACCTACCCCAGAGGGTGGCTATGAAAATCAAATGAGATAATAGGGGTAAAGCATTTTGCAAAATTTAAAGCACTACATTAATATTAACTATTACTGTTCTTATTGTCAAAGAGATGATCGATTCTAAGTATGGGATGGCACATTTGTGGCTGGGATATTGCTTTGTCTGCACAAGTATATTCCCAGTTACAAGGCACAGATCTACCGGAAGGGGGCAGGTGTAATTGAGAAGTGACAGCAATGGAGTGTGTGTGTGTGTGTGTGTGTGTGTGTCTGGGTGTGTGAGTGTGTAATTAAGAAGTCACAGCAATGGAGTGTGTGTGTGTCTCTGTGTGTGTATGTGTGTGTGTGTGTGTGTGTGGGTGTGTGTGTAATTGAGAAGTGACAGCAATGGAGTGTGTGTGTGTGTGTGTGTCTGGGTGTGTGTGTGTGTGTAATTGAGAAGTGACAGCTTTGGAGTGTGTGTGTGTGCGTGTGGGTCTGGGTGTGTGGGGGGGTGTGGGTGGGGGTGGGGGGGTGTGTGTGGGGGTGTGTGCGCGTGGGTGTGGGTGTGTGTGTGTGGGTGTGGGTGTGGGTATGTGGGTGTGTGGGTGTGTGGGTGTGTAACCAGTGTGGCTCTCTTTGGATAATCCAGCCCCTACATGAGCCCTCCGGGGTTGAAGGCTTTCCCACCCATCTTCTTTTCCTTGCCATAGAACACAGCCTAAGCAAAGCTGCCGATGACTGGAGCCCTCAGTGGGTTTGGATGGGTCTCCCCAACTAGGCCAGAGCTTCCTGAGAGCCTGTAGCCCCCTCGTACTGTTCCCAGAGGCTCTCACGGCACTGGGCATGCAGGAAGTGCTCCAGTACTCGGTGATCAGCCAAGCACTCTGTGGAGGGTGACTTGGCTAAGGCCCAGCAGACCCCTCTCCAGGAAAAAAAAAGGATGGAATGCTGCTGTCCCCCCAAAGGACAGTCATCATTCTCCAGGGAAAGATTGCTCCTGCCTCTTCCTAGGCTACAATTTTAGGACACACGGAGGCAGGGAAGCAACGTGCCAGAGAGTCAGACCCTGCAGCAAAGCGGTGGTGATGGGAAGCCCACTGGGCAGCAGAAGACCGTAGGATGGACATCAGAGCACCAGATGGCATTGCTGTAAGACTTGGGAAGCATTTTCCAAACATTCACTCACTTGATGGTCACAACCCAGTAGTGGATAAACACTACACATGGAATCAGGAAGACCTAGGTTCAAATCTCGCCTCAGACACTGACTAGCTGTGTCAACCTGAGCAAGTCACAGAGCCTCTGAACCTCAGTTTCCTCATCTGTTAAATGGGGATAATAATAGTATTTACCTGACAGGGCAGCTGTGAGGTTGAAATGAGAAGATACAAGTGATTTGTAAATATGAGCGATTCCCTCCCTCCCTCCCTTTCAGAGGTGAGGGTCAATAGGTATGGAACACAGCACATTGTTGACCTGTTGGCTAGTTTTGCTAAATTTCTTTTTTCCTCTCTCTTTTACTTTTTGTTACATAAAATCTCTCTGGGATAAGGAGAGAAGGATATATTCACAAATGGAAATAATATTAGAAAAAATCATATCAATAAATAATACATATATACATATTCATGTCTAATGGTAGCCATCTCTAGGGTGGGGGGAGGAGAGAGGGAGGGAAAAAATAAAAAGTTCACAGCAGAGAATAAAAGGAAATGTAGCAGGAAGTGTAGAGAGCAGAGTAGCTTTGAAAACGATGTGCAATGCTTATAGAGTGTTTTTTTTTTAAGTGAACAGTGTGAAATGTATTCATGGTTTTACAGTGAATCATCTTCTTATATTGTGCTGTGGACATGGAAATGTTCTTTGTTTTTGTGTATTTAATGAATTAAATTCATTAAAATGAATAAAAGAAATAAAATAAAACAAGGAAAAAAGAAAAAAGTATGTGTGTATCTATACATATATACATATACATATATAAGTATATATATGAAATATCACCCCATTTTACAGATGAGAAAACTGAAGCCCAAGGGGGGAAGAATCTTGCCCAATCTTCACAGTATTTAGAGATGGAAGACAATTTAGAGGTCAGCTAAGCCCAAGTCCCTCTTTTTACAGATAAGGAAACTGAGTCTTAGAAGGGTGCAACAACTTCCTCCTGGTTCCCTAGGTAGGAAGGATAGCTACCATGTACATGGTGAGCACCTGAAGGTTTGGAAAGTATTTTACACGCACTATCTCAGCTGATCCTCAGAACCACCTTTTCAAGGAAGGACTGCCAAGGGCAGTAGAAAGAGCACTGGCCTGGAAGTCAGAAGACTGGAATTCAAATCTTGCCTCTGTCACGTCACGACTTGTGTGACCTTGGGTTAGTCACTTCTATTCTCCAGGCCTCAGTTTCCCCTGAGGTAAGATGAGGGCACTTGACTAGACAAAACTTGGTGTTTGGCCAATAAGGATTCTGA